TTTGTCTATTTCATATTTCTGCCTCGCTCTCTACATTGTGGGGAATAGCGGCCGCTCCCGCCACCCCCCCCCACGCCCCCCTCAACTCTGGTGTCCCCACCAGCACTCTGGTCGCCCCACAGCAAGCCACCGTGATCCGAGACGGAGACAAGTTCCAGATCAACGCGGATCAGCTGGTGGTGGGCGACCTGGTGGAGATGAAAGGCGGGGACCGCGTGCCGGCGGACATCCGCATCCTCCAGGCCCAGGGCTGCAAGGTGGACAACTCCTCACTCACGGGCGAGTCTGAGCCCCAGACGCGCTCGCCCGAGTGCACGCACGAGAGCCCGCTGGAGACGCGCAACATCGCCTTCTTCTCCACCATGTGCCTCGAGGGTCTGTGAGAGCCCCGCCCACCCGCCCCCCTGCGGACCACACGCCTCCACCGCCCCCTGCCCCCCTCTGCTGCCTGGGCCCCCGCCGGCTCCCCACAGCTGGGTGCTGCCTGTCCAGTCTCAGCTTCCCTAGCCCCCAAGACGGCTTCCCAGGTCGCCCCGCCTTCCATACTGCCGCTCACTCAGTGCTCCCAGCCGCACCCCAGGTGGCTGCCCGGCAGGCCCTGAGTCGCCCTCTCGTCCTGCGCAGGCACCGCCCAGGGCCTGGTGGTGAACACGGGCGACCGCACCATCATCGGGCGCATCGCCTCCCTGGCCTCGGGCGTAGAAAACGAGAAGACGCCCATCGCCATCGAGATAGAGCACTTCGTGGACATCATTGCCGGCCTGGCCATCCTCTTCGGGGCCACCTTCTTTGTGGTGGCCATGTGCATCGGCTACACCTTCCTGCGGGCCATGGTCTTCTTCATGGCCATCGTGGTCGCCTACGTGCCCGAGGGGCTGCTGGCCACTGTCACGGTGAGTTGGGGAGGCCGGACAGAGGTGCAGAGAGCTGACAGGCCCGTCCTGTCCCTTCATCCAGGCATCCTTCCGTCACCTCCCTCTCCGTCCATCTATCCCTCCCCCCTGCCCCACCTTCCGTCGTCCACCCCCCCCCACTGCTGCCCCCATGTCCACCTACTCAGCATTCACTGAGGACTCAGAGATGAACAGGCCGGGCCTTGAAGCTCAGAGAA